GGGGGGGGGGAGCTGATACCAAGGGCTCGGGTAGAAAGAAAAATGTTCTGGAAATGATGGCAACACATGTACAGTGTGCTTAATACCAATGAATGATGGACTGTTATGAGATTTGTAAGAGTCCCCCGATAAAATGATTAATAAGATAGATAAATAAAATTAGATCTAAATGCAGGTCAACTTACCTGTGGTTCTCTCAACAGAGGGTATTCCAGGCTGGATTCCTATGGAGAGGATCTCATTAGCATGTGAACAAAAACATAGACATGATTCCATAATAACAGTTCGTAAAAATAGCATGGGATTGTGGGTACTTTATGGAGTTTTTAATACTGTTAAAATGAGCAATTTTGCCTCATATTGTCTCCTCTGGTAGTCATCGCCACACCTAATTCTGCATTTGCCATTTTATGTGTTTTTCCTTTCAAAAGATGCCCAGGAATGAAGCGCATTGAATAACCCCTTACCCCTGCCCTGAACGGGCCGATAACAGACATGTGGGTGAAGGGAGACAACGGACAGTGTAAGACACGAAAGAACAATAACCATGGATAATTGATCAAGGCTTCACAAGGGAGGGAGGGGAAGAAAGAGGAGCCGATATCAAGGACTCAAGCAGAACATGTTTGGGAAATGATGACGGTGACCTATGTACACATCCGCTCGAGCCAGTTGGTGTATGGGGTGTTGTAAGAGCTGTGAGACCCCCAGTAACACCCCCCAATAAAATGACTTAGAAAGAAAAGCATTGAGTGCCACAAGGCCGGGTGCCGATTGAAGTGGCCGGCGCTCAGATGCTGTAGAGTGAATGACCACGAATGACCGTAATGCCCAGTGATCAGCACTCCATCTGATGAGCTGGGGTTTTTTTTTAACTAAAATACACTTGCCTGGTGAGGCCTGTTTCCATCATTCCACCCTGTGCTTCTGCCACACGGCGTCCACGAGGGAGGACAGCCCCAAGAGAGACGACAGGCATCTTCCACCCACTCGGTCATGGGGAGGAGACCACGGCCCCTGGCTGCTTCCTGGGTGCCCTGGGATCAGATGCATAATGGGAGCAATCAACCCCAGCTGTCATCCAACACTTCCGTCCTCGAGCACACCATGGACACCTAATTGTCTGACTCCTAATGCCTCATTCCTGCCCTGGAGGCCACCAGAGAATCCCTCTC